GGTGTGATTGATTTAGGAAACCTCCATATGGTTCGTCGCGGACGTTTTTGGTCTCTCATGAAATAGGCTTTTGTCCGATATGACTTTGATGGTAGGAGTCTTCTTGTTCTTGAAGTGTAGTTTATTCAAATGGGTGACGGATAAGTCAGATCTCAATCTTACCCATATAAGGCTTCTTGTAGAGGGATTTTGGCTTTTCCCCCAAAGTATGATATTTTTTTGATGGGTGAAGAACCACTATTATCCGGATCTTTTGTTGACGAAGTCTTATATGAAATTACTGGTGGGTTTGGGCATTTTTCTAGGAATGCATCTTCAGCTTGTTTTGCCGCCCATTCTTTGAAATTATGGTTTCATGAGTCGAGGTTTGAGGTTTTTGCGAATGTAATCTGGTTATAGACTTGTCGAGATTCTTGATTGACCTCTAAATGTTGATTGTGGTGGATTTTCAGCTTATGGCTTTCTCTCCAAATGATGAGTACCTTGGATGATGTGATTTTGGCTATAATGACTTTCTTATCATGGAAGTTTCTTTGCTTGAAGGTCCTTATTGTTGTACCTTGAGATTGGTTGGCAAAGACCTTGGCTTGGTGCAGATAGTTGGTACTTCAAATGCTAAATTTGGGCACCTAATTTGTAAGTCACACAATATTTATCTCTTTTTTTTTGTGTGTGGGACTTACTTGACTTTTTTATGCCCTTGTCTATGCTTTTTCCTCCTTAATCTAGCATTTGACTTTGGTAAGACGACTATTGAAAGGTCGAGAGTCTCTTTTGGTGATTGACGGTGTGGGTGCCACTTCTCATTGGCTAGGTTGGATTGGCTATTTTTTTGGTAGAAGTGAGGATTCTGACGCCATGTGCTTGTTTGTATGGATGAGTGCTTCACGTTTGTGATTCCTTTGTACGATAAATTAGATCCTTGATCTTCTTCAATCTTCCAGTCACGAGACTCTGTGAGGGTTTTCTTGCTATGATAGTAATGTTTGGCTTTCTGTGCATCGAGATTTGGCTATTTTACTTTATGTAAACTGAGCCTCAATTTGTTGGCAAAAGTTGACCATAGTGGTGACGAGTTTGTACAAGTAGCATGATATCGTATACTCATCACACCTTTTGAATATTAGTGGACATAATTCATGGTCACCAGTATGGTGTTTATCTCTCGATTTTAGCAAAACACGTACACTCTCAACACTAGTGGGTGTTCAAAATATCGATAGTAGCATGGTGTTTATAATCGCTCGACACCAGTGGGGTGTTCACATTTTCTTAGCATGACAATATCATGGCTTAACTTGAAAATAGAACTGAAATTGGATGGCTTTCATTTTTGTAGAAAATAAATCCATTTTTTATAAAAGGTTTCGAAGCGATATTCGTTATTTTGATAATGAAAAACCATTGATGCAAACTCTAAATTAAGATTGATAATGGTCACACAATGCTGTGAAAGTGGTCGAAACATGAGAGACATTTTATTTATGATGATAAAGGCAAAAGTGATACATATTTTGCTATGGCAAATTATCTCGATATTTTATTTACTAGTCAGGATCAATAGCATCCTTAAATCGAGCTTTGCCTTATAGTTTGCCTACTAATTCCCATGAGTTGGCAGTGGGTTATTGTTGACATCTGAACGCTTTCGCTCTTCTACGAACTTTAACCAGCCAGTATTGATCATTTGTTGGACCTTGATCTTGAGCGATCTCCAATCTTCAGTTGAGTGTCCTGCTACTTCCGAGTGGTAAGCACAATGCTGGTCTGATTTGTACCAATTTGGATAAGGAGGCTTCATAGGTTCACATGGTATTGGGGAGATTAGGTTTCTCTGAATTAGCTGAGGGAGATTTGGTGGTGGTGCGACTCGTGTCGGGCTCTGGATGGCTCGTTGAGTAGGAAAATTTGGACGTTGATTAATTATGGCAGAGTTTGCAACATATGGATGAGCTTGATTGACCCGAGGTTGATGATCTCACCTTCTTCCTCTATATGATTCTGTTTGAGCATAACGAACGTCTGCTTCTCCCCTTCGGGCTTGGTGGGTTTCTTAGAGGCCTCTGGAATCTCCATCTGACCTTGCTTCAAACCTTTTTCTATTCGTTCTTCGATTACTAGCAAATTCGCAAAGTTGGTTGTGGTAATTCCTACCATGTTGTTGTAATATGGAGCCCTTAGAGTTCCAAAGAAGATCGACACCATTTCCTTTTCTGACAGTGGAGGTTGAACGTCTGTAGCTTTCTCTCTCCACCTCTAAGCATTCTTTCTGAAAGACTCTTTCTCGTTCTTTTCCATATTCCTCAGATTCCTAGAGCCAGATCCTGGTTATGCTTGTAATGCCGCATGAATGCATCAGCTAGGTCTTGCCATCTTCTCACTTTTGTTTTCTCTAGTTGCATATACCATCTTATGGAAGAACAGCTCAGGTTGTTCTGGAAGAAATGTATCATTAGCCTTTCATCCCGGATGTGATTGGCCATTTATTGTAGTACATGACCAGATGACTATTTGGGCAAGTGATGCCATTGTATCTTTCAAATTCTGCCATTTGAAACTCGTGAGGAATTACGACATCTGGGACTAGACATAGTTTTGATGCATCCATAGGCTCGTACGATTCAACTCCTTCTATGCTTCTTATCCGTTCATTCATATGTTCTTATTTTCTTCCAACAGATTTTCGATCTTATGTTCGTCTTTCTCCTCGGACTCTCCTGATTTTTCATGCTTCTATGGCCCCATGTTGCCCTTGTCGCCTGTGTACTTCGAAGATATGATTACAAATTTACTACCTGAGGCATGCCCCCGAGGTGGCTCATAGTGATTGTCGTCTTCAAATATGGTTTCCTCCTCATTCGTTGCAACCTCCTTCCCTTTTCTTGACAATATGCTTAATATTGTGTTAAGTTGGCTTTTCATCTCATCTAACCCAGTTAGTTTCTCATCAAACCCTACTAGCTTCTTGTCGAACCCTGCCAGCTTTCCTTTGGTGTCATTCAACTCCTTCTGAAATGCCTCCATGACGAACTTGGCTTTTGATCTCGTTAAATACTTAAAAGGATGACTTTTCTCCCGTAGACGAGCAATTTTAAGGAACCCTAACCAATTAATCTTGTTAAATTGACTTATTTGAGTAATGGAGTGTATATATGATGCTTATGCGATGAATAGATGCAAAAAAAATTTATTTTGAATGAATATGCGGAAAAAAGAGAAAATTGTAATTGTAAACTTTAAAATCACTTTGTTCACGTAAACAAATTATGTGCGAGGTGGAGATATAACGCGAATTATCACATCATCATCAAACATACAGACATATAATATTAAAAACATAACCCTATCTTGGTAGGCCTAGGGCTTTCGGATGACATGATGACGTGGTTTGAGGGCGGCTTCGGGATATGTTTAGGATGACTGAGGGTGGTATCTAACTCGATTATATGTTGGGTAGGAAATCCTAGGAATTGGCTCCCAAGTTTCACCCCGCTGTAACCCTTTCGAGCTTGCCGGATACCTCAAATCAACCTCGGATCTGAGTTCAACTTAGTTGGAATGTTTTGCGTGCCTTCCACTACAATGAAAGTCACGGTGTTCCTTTTCCGTTTCTAATATGATAGCTAGGGTATAGAGCTGTTGTGCATGAATTCATAATCAAATTGCGAAAATATAATTGCGCAAATAAGAAAATAAACACCCAACATGTAATAGAAATTTAGAAAACTTTTCAAACTTAGTTATGTAGCTCAACTCTCGAAGTCCCCAACGGAGCCGCCATCTGGAGCAATCGTCCCTCGGGGTTCGGGTCGCATTCGCTTTTTGGAGTCGCCATCGATCTTACTTGGAGTGGATCGAACACTCTTCAGTCGGCTCTAACCTTAGATTCAAAACCGAGGCTTGGTCTGTGATATAGAAATCTAGGTTCGGGAGTACAGTTATGTGTGGCGAAGTTAAGAAACACCCCCACAGCGCCCTAGATCGGTACAACTTAAGCTGATAATGTATATACGAGTCGTGTATTTTTAGTAATAAATTTGTATTTTTAGGGTCCCACTAGACCATAAAAAAAGTTTGTCTTATTAGTTTACGATTTAATTATACGCCCACTAACGTACAATTTAAAGATAAAGTTGGTTTATTAGTTGGACGTGAACCTTATCGGTTGCCTATGTACCCGTAACACGGGATCAAAGTCCACGTAGTTCGTTGAAACTTTGATAATTTTAAAACCACATTCCACTGATCGTGATTCTTGTATAAAAGATTTTGTTAATAAAATTTAAATTGATTATTTTTAAGTTGTGAAAAGATAACATAAAGATTTCATTTATTAGGAAGAAATTTGATGTATTAGATAAAGAAACATGATTAACTTAATCCGCATTCAAAATTCCGTATTAACGATAATAAATAATAAAATGAAAAGGAATGGTTTAATTTACGCATGATGGGCCAGCGACCCAACTGGCTAAATAGCTAGACCTGATTTCGCACAGAAGCTAGAAGGTAGCGGGTTTGATACCCTCTACCTTTGTCTATATTGTTCGTTTTTCAACACCCAGGAGTGGCATTTTTGTACTTTCTCAAAAACACGGTGGCAATGCCAAGTAGTATACGGAAAACCCTAGGGATAATTTAGTTGTTTTAACAAATCAAATATATAAACGTAGGGGTGGCAGTTCGGTTTTCGGGTAGCGGTTAGCCGACCGGTTTAACCAATAACCGTCGGTTAACAGCTAACCGAAACCGAAGGTTAATTGATGTGGTCGGTGGTCGGCGATGGTGAGGATAGTCTCGTTTGACCGAGTAACCAAAACTCGGTTAGCCGGTTAGCCGAACTAACCGACCGATATCCATACGAAGCCGTTTCAATGATAGAAAAGTAAAAATAAAAAAAAATCCCAAACCCTACCTCTTTGCCGACCTTGCACCCTCACCACTCACCCTCCACTCCCGCCGCCCTTCACCCTCCTAACTCTTCTTCTCACCCCTCACCACTAGTGTCGTCCGCCGTCCATCATCGCCTTGCCGTCTCCTCCACCGCGACCCACTCCCTGCCGACCTCCCAAATCCCGCAACCACCATCGCCTCGCCATCTCCTCCACAGCTCTCCCCTGCCGACCCATGCCAACCTCCCAAATCCAGCAACCACCGTCGTTGCCCTTCCCTGCCGGCTCCAACAACCCTCCGCCGATCAACAGCGACATCGCCAGCGCCTTCGCTTGCTGCCGGCGCCCTCGCCCTGTCGCCCCGACCATGCCCCTCTGCCGCACCATCACCTCGTTTAACTCGCCGGCTCGCCTGCAACCAACCATCTCGTCTTCCATTCCGGTTACTATGGCTAACCGAACCAAATCCAAAAAACCGGCCGGTCAGTGGTCGATTAACCGTCGTCTTCTCACGGTCGGCAGCTCTAGGAGGCGGCTCGGTTTAACCGACAACCGAGAAATCGGTTTTCGGTTAAACGGAAACCGACCGACTGCCACCCCTATATAAACGTCTCTAAGAAACCCTAATCCATTATACACAGACCAAACGGCGGCCGATTTCTCTCTCTCATCTCAGCTCTTCTCTTTTCTCGTTCCCTCTTCTCTAAACCGAGAACGAACTACGAAACCCAAAAAAAAAAAAAGAACAGTCGCACTCTCCCTCTCTTGATTCTCTACTCCCCTCTCCAATTTCCAGAAAATGAATCGCTAACTCTCTCCTCTACGCCACCGTCTTCTCCTTCTCTCGGTCCTTCTGTTTCTCGCCTCTGCTTCCAGTAAACAAAATCCTAAAACTCAACACAAACCGCCTATAGCCGTAACAATGACGACGACGAGAAAAGACAACCTGAATCGACTTCAATCGATTAGGGACATGTCCATCCAGGTGAAGTTTTAGTTTGCATGTTATTTTCTTTCGCTTTATTTGTTGATTTTGAGGAGTTTTTGGGTTCTAATCGCTTTTGATTTGTGCTTTTTGTGTGTGTGTGTGTGTGTGTGGGGGGGGGGGGGGTGGATCTGGATTGGTAGATAGAAAATCACCATTGTCGGCATAAACGACGATGACCGAGGAGAAAGCACTTCGAAGGAAGACGTAGAAATCCGTCGGAGACGGTGAGTGAATCCGAGGTTCTTACCTCGTTTTGATTTTGGGGTTGTTTTAATTGTTGGCTTAAAATCTGTTTCTGGGGCAACTTAGAGTCGCCGTCGACGAGGGTATTATAGGTCAGGGGTTGGATCTGGATTGGTAGATAGAAAATCATTGTTGTCGGCATAGACGACGATGACCGAGGAGAAAGCACTTCGGAGGAAGAATTAGAAATCCGTCGGCGATGGTGAGTGAATCCTAGGTTCTTAACTCGTTTTGATTTTTGGGTTGTTTTAATTGTTGGCTTCAAATATGTTTCTGGGGCAACTGAGAGTCGCCGTCGACGAGGGTATTATAGGTCGACGGTGAAAAAAAATCGACCGCCGAAGGCTCATAGGCAGTCTGGGTAAGTTTGGATTCTGACCATCTATCCTGACTTATTACAGGTTTAAGAGCAGACTCTAGGTGAGGTCTCCTATAACTTTCTTAATTTGGGATTGAAAGATTTAAAACTAAAAGGTGGATTATACTACGATAGATCTAAATGATTTGCAAGTTTAAGAACTAGGAAATAAGGTTGTGAATGATTTTGACTATCTGGAATTTTGGTGTTTTTAGGGATGGTTTCAAATGTAGCTTTTGGTTATGCTCGAAATTGCTAAAAAAAAGGAAAATCGGCTACTGCTTGGAATTTTGGTGTTTTTTATGGATGTTTTCTAACGTAGCTTTTGATATACTACAATTTGCCAAAAATGATTTTTGTGTAATGAAGATGTAATTAACGTCTCTAAATTGCTTATCTTGGCGATTATAAATCACTAACACTTTTAGTGATTTTTCTAGACTATGGACTAAATCACTACTGCTATTGATTATACTAAATTATGGACTCTAAATCACTGCTACTGCTTGCGATTTTATCATATTATTATGATTAGTAAACTGGTAAGGGTTTATGAATAAAAAATTCAAGGGTGATATGGTTTCTTAGATTTGGATTTGGATTTAATTGGTTATGTAAAATGATATAGTGTTTATCAACTATATGCTAAAAGGGAATTTGAAAGCATGACAGAAAATTAAACTAGACTATCAATTGATAAGTAAAGTAAGTAAATGCTCAATTAAAAGAAGCTTGATGCTGAAATAGAATTACTACGAGCATATCTTATTATAAGTAAATAGATTACTTGAATATAAAGGGGTTTTAAAAGTAAATCGCTTGAATAGTAGGCAAGTTGATGGACGATTATAACTCTACAATGATAGAGTAGAGACTATACTAAATGACATTGAATTTACCAATAATCATGGAATCAGAGTTAAAAGCACCAACTTTATTAGGATTTGTACTCCAAGAACACTTTCTTGATGCTGCTCCCTTCCAATTTCTGGACTCAGTTTGGTGTTGTAATGAAGAGATTAGAGTGTTTTTGAATTTTTGTATCTGTATGTTTTCTTTCCTCCAATATGTCCCCCTTAACTAGAGCTGCAAAGCTTCAGTTATGGCAACAATGTATCGTGAGTTTTTAGGCTGCTTTTGAAAGAGTGCCCCTATAGTTGTAGGTCGGTTTTGGATAAGACCTGGTCTGAACGAAATGGGTTGAAATTGTCTGGCCCAAAATCTTATGTCACTCGTAGGCTTAAACTGTAGTTGTGTCTGGACTAGTAATTGGGCCGAGCTGCTTGTGTAGTGGGCTTTGAGATATTGTATTAGTCTAATTTTTCATTTTCTTTTTGTAGGTAGTGGGTTTGGGCTCAAAACCGAAAGCTAGAAATCTAGGGTTCTCTATACTTCAACCGAGTGGTCCTAATCTGATTGGGCTTTAAAGCCTTAATTCTTCATATGTAATAATTATGTAATTTATAGCTTGTGATAGCCTGTGTAGATAGTTATGCAAAATAGGGAATCTAATAATTTTACCCTTTTACCGAAGTCAGTTATTTTTAACCATGTCCAAATCCAGGCCCCAAGTGATCCCTCGTATAATCCAAAACAGGACCTAGATAGTCACTAATGTTAGAAAATTCCTCACTGCCTAATTTGTTCATAGAATCATATGAGCGAACTTGAACTCGATAAATATTGGTTCTTATTGACTGGCTACTGCTAGTCTTAACCAAATCAATATTAGAATTAAATATAAGTGAATTTGAAAATCAATAATACTTATTGACTTGCCACTGCAAATCTCAAACAATTAGTCCGAAGTTTTTTTTTTGTTTTCAATTTATTTTTAAAAATGTCCCCTTGCATGGGATTTATATAGAGTGTTTGTCCTGGACAAAACATTGTGCCTACAGGTAACTTTATTCTTTTTAACATTGTGATAAAATATTTTACAAATTCTTAACCTAGTCTTTTTAACATCCATACCAATCCTTTCATAAATTACTACTTTGGTTAAAACTATCACAAAAAATTATTTATTTGGCTCAACCAGAGTGTTGACCGTTATGTTGGACGGTCAACATGCCATGTCAACATAAAAAAACTTAAAATAGTCATAAAAATCCACATATTATATAGTTTCAAATGATTACATTTTAACCTAAAAATATAAAAAATAATAACCAAAACTTCTCTTCATGATCGAAGGTTTGATGACTCGCAATAAATATACATTCATTATCGGAGGTCAAGCATAACCAACGACGGGTGTATCATAGGGTAAGCAAAGTAATAAATTATTGAACCACGAGTTCTAGATGTACCGTTACTTCAACTTAGATATGCACTCTAGCCAAACCAGAATAGTGTTTAAGACTAAACTAAGTACACTAACCTACTACTCTAGCTAATTATAAATTTGTGAGATCACTTGGGCATGAATAGTCCTAATTACGTCATTTGGTCGATGTTGAGTACTACCCCTAGATTGATTGACTCAATACTTCTACTGCGGAGAATTATAGACTAGATTGGAAACCCTATTCGAGGCATCCAACCTCGCCCAATTGCTCTATCGGAGAGGTGTACTGTACAATCGGCATAGGCAATTGAGGTGTTCACAACCAACTCCCATGATTGGACAAGACCCAATACGGACACTACGAATCCTATCACACTCGTTCAAAGATCTATAGTGAGTGATTGAAGGTGCTATGTTCAACCTAGGGAGATATTCTCTCCTCTAGGTCAAAAAGTCAATTGACATGTAGTGGGATCAAAACTCATGCAATTAATCATGAACATCAATCAAATAGACAATAGGAGTAGTCAACCATAGGATTTGTCACATACATCAAGATTCAAGCCCAATTATAGAGATAGGGTTCATCAACTTAAGTGAAGGAAGCTAATTGATAGAGTAGAAGAGAGAGCATACAATATACGGTTTAGAATCTTCAATCAACATATTTTATGAGACGATCTTCAAGCTTTAATGGTGGTTTGCACCTCCAAAATGGCTCCAAGAACACTCCTAGGTCACTCTCTCTAGAATTGCCCCTAGGGTGTTTTGGGGTAAAACATCCAGCTCCCCCTCTCAATAAACTGTTGTTTTTCATTTATACTCGTAGCAGTGCAAGGATCACTCCCTAGTGTGGTGTTTCACGGCCTTGAAGTGTGCAAATAGTGTTCTCATCTGAAAACACACCATTTTGTGCATACTTCATGGTTTAGTTATTATTTTCACTCCCTCAAGCAATAAAGAGTGCCCAACACACAAGATGCACTAACCATGCTCGAACTTGCTTTGTTTAGGGTTTTGGGGGGATTTTCATGCCCTCCAGGAAGTGAACATTTGCTTTGACATGCGAATGTCTCGGAACTCGTACCCAAGTCTCCCACACACACTAGGACTTGAAATATAACAAAAGAAGATAACATAGCATAAAATGAATTGAGGAACGACAATTACCAAGTCAAAAATCAAGATTTAAAGGGGTAAAACATGTGTAATTAGCGTCAAATCATCTGACTCACGTAGTCGACCCTCATGACTGCATACGTTTGCTCGTCGTCTTCCCGGAGCCCAATACTGGTATTTACTTGTTCTCGTAACCAATCGCCCTTCGTGGAATCTAGAATCCCTCCTCATTAAATTGCAAGTTACTCACTGCGATGCCTCCTCACTCCACGCACTGACATCTTGCCAAAATCCCATTTCATCCCAACTGAAATCCCAAATTGCAAACACAAAAAACCCAGAATTAGACCCAAATTCCCTCATTACCGATTGTTGAGGGATCGAGAGAAGTGATGAGATCCATGTTTTCAGGCATATGCATGTTGATGAAATCATTTGAT